TTTTTTTTTTTTTTTTCTCAATTTATATGCTAATCGCCCGCATTTTCTAGGGTTACCAATGGCCTCTACGTTAACATCTCGTTGCACGACTATATTCGTGGCCTGGCCAACGTTCATCATTCATCGAGTGACTGGACCCTCGACCCTCGAGTCAAAATCAACAAAATCTTTGATTCTGAAGGTGTCCCCCGAGGAATTGGTAACCAGGTGTCCGTCGAATTCAATCTCTTGTACCGCTTCCACTCTATCATCTCCCGCCGCGATGAGAAATGGATGAACGAGTTCTTCGCCGATATCTTCGGCCAAGACAAGAAGGTCGAACAGCTCACTCCACAGGAATTCATTCAAGGTCTTTATCGCTTCGAACAGAGCATCCCCGAGGATCCCAGTGCGCGCGAATTCGGTGGACTCAAGCGTGGCGAGGATGGCAAATTCAGTGACGCTGACTTGGTACAGCTAATGAAGGACAGCATGGAAGACCCTGCAGGCTGCTTCGGTGCCAGGATGGTTCCCAAGGCGCTCCGTGTTATTGAGATTCTGGGTATCATTCAGGCAAGAAAGTGGCAGCTAGCTTCTTTGAATGAGACGCGAGACTTCTTCAAACTCAAGCGCCACGAGACTTTCGAGGATGTTAACTCGGACCATGAAATCGCGGATCTTCTGCGCAAGCTTTATGATGACCCTGATATGGTTGAAATGTATCCTGGGCTGTTCCTCGAGGATATCAAGCCACGCATGGATCCTGGTATGCTTTCCTGTCCCACTTTCTGAGAAATCTTGCTTACGAGGATAGGTCATGGTGGATGTACCCCTTACACCGTTGGACGAGCAGTGTTCAGTGACGCCGTTACGCTTGTTCGATCGGACCGGTTCCTTACTATTGATTACACGGCTTCGAATCTCACCTGCTGGGGGTATAATGAAGTTCAACAGGACTATGACATGTAAGATCAACTAGCCCCATATTTTATCAATGCTAGCTAACACAAGCTTATCAAGCCTGGGTGGCTCGATGTTCCATAAGTTGTTCCAACGCGCTTTGCCCAACTGGTTCCCATATAACTCATTGCACATCACCCAGCCTATGTACACCAGGAAGATGAACGAGCAGATCGCCCGGGAAATCGGCACTATCGACGAGTATACCCTTGATGACCCTTCGCCGCCTCCAAAGACTGTCATCGTGACCAAGCACTCTACCATCACCAAGCTCTCGAAGGACCAAGCGAACTTCCGTGTTATCTGGGCTAAGTACCTGAATGAGATGATCCCGGGTAGGGACTTGAGTAGCTACATGTTGCTAGGCGACAAGCCGGCCAACACTGCTCAGAAAACTCTCGTTAAGGAGATACTCTACAGTCCTGCCGAGTTCGTGCAATTGTTGTCAGAGACAGCAGTGTCCGTGGCGAATGAACAACTTGCCGCTGAGACATTGAATCTGACATCGGAGCTGCACCAGGTTGATATCGTTCGAGAGTAAGTGATTGTTCCTATTGGAATCACAACTGCTTAAAGGAAAGGTATACCTGAATTTGCACTAACATCTCTCTAGTGTCGCCATCCCCATGTTGACTAGGATTCTGGCCGATCTTTTCTGTCTGGACCTCAAGACCCCTGAGAACCCGAATGGAACTTACAACATCGCAGAGCTATACAAGTATATCATCGACGTGCGTATCTTCGGCTTCAACAATGATGACCCAGGATTGGCTTTGCAGCGTAGGAAATGGGCTCGTGAGGGTGCAGAGTCTCTTACCAAGACCACATTGAAGGTCGTGTCCAACTTGCCCGCTTCAGAGAAATCTGCAAAGGGGGTTATTAGCGGAGCCGTTTCTACAGCCAAGGGCATCGCATCGAAGATCCCTCTTTTTGGCAAGCTCATTGGAGACGGCAAAGGCGTTGAAGGACAGTCGACAAGTGGCTCGTTGCGCTGGTACGGATATAACGTAGCTAAGGAACTTATCGCGTCAGGAAAGACCCCTGCAGAGGTTGCAGACATTAGCTGGATGAACGCTGTTGGTGGTGTCGGCGCGACTATCGGAGTGGTTGGTACACCCGGTCTGCGGAAAGTAGTATCTACCTGTGTCACAGCTGACATGAGATCTAGTTCACCGATGTCCTCAACTATTTCCTCCAGGATGAGAACTCCCAGCACTGGGAAGAGATCCAGAAGCTTGCTGCTAGCTCGGACTTGGAATCCTCAAACAAGTCTCTCCGGCAGTACGTCCTCGAAGCTCAACGCTTGACCAGCACCCAACGAAGCCTCCGTCTCTGCGCGGGCAAGGCCGTGATTGATGGACAGAGCTTCGAGCCTGGTAACTTGGTGATCTGTTTATTGGTATGCTATATCGTGGAAGTTTCATGGAACGAAAGCTAACTCTATACACTAGGGCGCGGCATGCAAGGACCCCGATGCTGTCCCAGACCCAGAAGCATTCAAGCTTGATCGGCCATCGAGCGCGTATATCCACTTCAACGTTGGACCACACGAGTGTCTTGGACGAGAAATTGCATTGTCCTGCATCACTTCCCTTCTCCGTGTCTGTGCCGGCTTGAAGAACCTCCGAGCAGCACCCGGTCAAATGGGCGTTCTGAAGAGTATCACCACCGGCACTGAAAAGCACTTCCTCAACGACAGCTGGTCTACCCTTACCATCGACCCAACGAGTAAGTCCGCTGACTTGATCACTTCCACTGTAAACTAATCATCCCCCAGCCTGGAAAATCCACTTCGAAGGCCACGGCCAGGGCATCCACCATCCTCCGAAGATCCCAGTCACCGCAGGCCGAGACCTCAACGCCCTGTCCAACGCTCTAAAGAAACAGCACCACGACAAGTTACAAGAAACCGTCTCCAAGGTAGCCAACGGCGTCACCTCCCCACTGAACAAACTCATCCCATCCAACAGTCCCAGCAACGGCGCCGGCCACCCCCCGCTACCCATCCAAAACGGCCACGGCAACGGCATTGCAAACGGCAACACCCACCCAAACATCCTCCACCAAGCCGTCTCCTCGGCCGCTGCCATCCCGCAGCAGGCCCTGGGCACAGTCCACGGCGTCGCCCACAACACCGTCGGCCATTTACCCGGCGGCCAGCAGGTCACCGACTTCACGCACGGGCTGGTCCATCCCTTCGCTGGAGCCGTGTCTCCCGGCCACACTCAGCCTCAATCTCCGCCTCAGGGCCAGAATACTCAGTCCCAGGGCAACTGGTTTTTTCTCCCCCACGGCGTGGAAAACGCTGCTAAGCAGGTTCCGGGACATCTTTTTGGCCAGACAGCATAGACTGGTTCGGGTGTACTTGGTTGGACTTGAGATGTATGAGAAGTGGAGGGGGGCGTGGTCGTGGAAAGGTCAACATTGATTGATTGATGCATTGTGAGTTTTGTGGGTTAAAGTAGTAACAAAATTTATGTTGTTGTGACTTTGGTTCCTGCTCTGTGAGGGATATGTCTTGTAGATGATCTGAGGTGTAGCTACATGATCTCGAATCTCGATGGGCTGGACTATAGATGCTGTAACAGAATACAGGGAGTTTTCTTGAAGAGCTAACAGTTTACTATACATTGCTAGTATGCCACGACATAACACAGGCACTATAGGCAAGTCGGATTAAGCTGAAAAAAAAAAAAAAAAAAAAAAAAAAAAAAAAAAAAAAAACAAAAAAAAAAAAAAAAAAAAAAAAAAAAAAAAACAGGCACATGAATCAATACAAGGAATACGACTCGGAGATTGGGAATTTATTCTAAGAAAGATCAAGATACTACCTCTCCCCTCTTTTCCCTTTTATAACATATCGTTATATAGGGTGTGGAGAAGACTTGTGTATCCATGCTTAATTCACAGACGATCTCAATATCATCCAGACATTGAGTATGGAGATATCCACGACAGAAAAGGCTTCCATCAATCAAGAATCTATTTCCTGTTATAAATTAACTATTGAACGCATAGCTATGCAGGTGCAGGGCAGAAATGGCTTCCGAATAATAAATATGAATCTACATAAACCAATCCACGGTAAGTAACTACTAGCCTGTAGGCTGCAGTGCCAGCACGATAATCAATCTCCATCTTCCCGATCTTTATTTTGTAAAATGCAATGCAACAAGAAAGAGTGAAAGAACGAGGAGAAAAGAAAAGAACCACTGACATCCAACCTATACTATACTATACTATTACCATACTTATCCTCTTCACAATTCATGCCCCGAGCAGCCAATACAAACCAGCACCCAAACCAACCAGCCCTCAATCCCAGATCAGACCCCGAATCAAGATTCCCCAATCCAATCCCCCAATCTCCAGCCCAGTCCAGCACACGCAGATAGTAGTAGTATGCAGCATTCAGCTCGACCCACCCACCTACCCCCCACCCACCAATCAGGACATCAGCGATAGGGCTTCCGTGCAGAAGATGAACCAATCAGATCTGTCCTTTGCTCACTACATCCCATTGCCTCTTACTGAACAGGGTTATTCCAAGGTAGTATCTATGTTTGCTTTTGTAGCACAGAGGTGCTGACTATGCCTACTACTTGATATTGTCTAAGTATGTGGATTAGACTGGGTATGTGGCTATGCCGGGGTTACTCGGTTCATGATCCTGGTCATATGCAGCAGGTATACCGTGGGAGGGGGTGGTACATGTACATGTACATTAGGGTCTATTGATGGGTTGAGCTGTGTGTTGTCCATTGTGACGTGCTGCGTACTTCTCTGGTTCGTTCTTTAGGATCTACTGAGGGATATACCTAGATTGCAGAAAGAGGGGTACGAGGAAAAAGAGAAAGAAAAGAAAGCATACAATCCGGCATGTGAGTTCGGATCTAGCATGAGCTGAGGTGAGAGAATCAAGGTATAAAACGATGCGCGAACCCGGCCTACATCCAAGGACAAGAAAAACAACCATCTCTCTTCTTCTCTTCTCTTCTCTTCCCAGATCCAAGCACATATACTCAACTCTATCATCCAAGACTAAAGAAGAAGAACTCAAGATGGCCGCCGCAGCAGCCATGACCCCTCCCCCGCCCACTGAAATCCTCCATCTGGATACCGCAACCGGATACCGCTGGATCCTCTCCGAGGCTGAGCGTGCCCATATCGCGTCTTTGTTGAAGACGGAGAGTATGTTTCCCTCTTTGTTTTTTTTCTGCGTTCTACCCAGCCAGTTCTTTTATTCAAGCCTGGGCGCAAGGGGAAGTAATAGTAGCTAAGAAACACAGCTGATGCTATCACCATCCGTGGCAACATCATGACCCAGGAGCGTCGGGTCTGCGCCCACTGTGGCAAGCACTCTGGTCTCGATGACCTGGTTCACAATGCGTTGGCGCTGGGCATCCACAGCGACGGTTTCATGCTCGATGTCTTACAGCATGGACCCAAGAACACCAGCCCGCCTCATAACCTGCTCTGCTCGAACTGCGGGGAGCAGCATGAGGGGACTTTTCTGTGGATTCCTTCTCTCCCCTGGTGAACCTGGATAAGGGCTGATGTTGTTTTTATTGTTGCTGTTTGTGTTGTTTTTCGGGATATAGTGATGCAATGAGACTGTGTTGGTCAAGGAAAGAGTTCAAGATTCGCGATCCATATTCCAAGAATGTGAAGCATGATAGAAATTGTCGGCCCTAATATGAATGATATACTATAGCACATGAAAAACGCAGGAATCGTTATTCCATTTTATTAGACAAATCGAAAGTCAAGCTTCTCCACGGAGAAGTAAACCGCCCAGTCCCGTAGTAACCCTCATGAAGAAACGCCAAAAACACCAGACAAGTCCTCATATCTGTAGGCTCATGTTTCCATGGCATCGCCCGTGTCCGACTCGTCATCGACAACTCCCAGTAGCTTGGCATATGGTACCGTTACCCGCTGGAGATCCCGGTGTTTGCCTAGTCAATGTTCGTGTCAGTAGGAGTCCATCAATACATCTCAGAGACTAGAAGCTTACCCAGTGCCAGAATGACCTCCTTCAATAACACCTCTCGCGGCCAGCCACAGAGGGTCTCTGAACTTTCTCGCCAGTTTCGGTCTTCTTGTTCGTTTTCCTGCAGGCGCTGGGCAGGGCCGGTCTCGTCTTCTTCAAACAACCCGCCAATTAAGCCCTTCAGCAATTCCTCGACCTTCATCTTGAGACCCTCTGCTCCAAGCCGTTTGGCGTACATCGAGAGGTACAGCCGGAACTCCTCCTTGGCTCCGAGGGACAATGCTGCCGCAAGTCGGTTTTCCAGGTGCGCAATAGAGACGCTCGATTCGAAACTCTCGTAACCTTCACGGGAGAGGAGAACCTTGATCAACCGTTGCAGGAAGTATGCCCGTCCGCGGAGCAGCGTCTCGCTGGTTGTGTTGCGTTCCAAGAATGGGATAATTCCCGCGGACACAGCAGCCTTTGCGTCCTTGTCTTTTTGCGCATCTGCGGTCTGCAGGTTGCCCACCGGCGCTTCGGTGGTGTTCCAGTACTGACTGCCGACAGCCCACCAGGGCTCGGAAATCCGCTGCCATGTGAACATGGAAGGCGAATAAGAGTAGCCTTCTCCATTCGACATCGCGACCACGATTCGGCCTTCAGAATTGATCCGTGCATTCGTGATTGCCGGCGCGGCTGAGGGATGTGCGCCCAGTGTGTGGATCGCTGCATCCAGTGCCGGCTGGAGGGAAATAGGTGGATGAGGCGAGGAGAGGTGTTTGACATTCCAAACATAGCACATCCCAACGGCTGATATGCAGAGGATCCACGGCCCATTGCATTCCAAGATTACCGGCTGTGCTTCAAGCACGAGCGCACTGACAAGACGACGACCGGCTGGGGTCCAGATGTAGACGGATCCGTCTTCGCAGGCCGCAGCCCACATGCTCTGGTTGCCGGTCACGAGGAGGACTGTCCGTGGAAGGTAATCCTGCCACAGGGGCTGTTCACCTCGGAAGAGTGTGAGCCGCACCGGCTCCCGATCTGCTGCGCGGCCGGTCAGGCTAGCAGGTGACGGATTGCGAACTTCAAAGACAACGTCAACGCGGGATTTGTTGGACTCTCCCGACGCACTGGGTGGTTCAGTCGGCTTCCCATTGGGATCAATGGCTCGAAGTATCTGGTTTCGGATTTTCGGTACGGCCAGTCGGACCTGGCTCATGGCCATACAGGGGTTCGTCACCGCAGGTCGAATAAACTCTGGTGTCGGTTGTTGGCCGGCGACAGCGGGCTGCGGTCGTGCAGGGAGAAGGCCATCGGGGGTGTTCGTAAGAAGAGGGGTAGCACCATTCTGACTTGCCAACGCGACGCGCTTTTCTACATGTCCATCATCGTCTTCCTCCAGCTGCGCGAGCTTGCGCTTATTCCCAAAGAGCAGGGTGGCAAGCCCCCCCTTGGGTAAACCGTCGAAGGGCTTGGAGAGGTCGACAATAGACTGAGGTGTATCGGCCTTCACTTGGCTGCTAACCGACGCCATCAAACGGGCTTGAGGCAGGGAGGACTCAGCTGCACCTGCACCGGACACCAAAAGAGGGGCAATACGCTTCTTGCCGTCCTTAGTGTATGTAGGGCGTTGCTTCAGTCTTTCAAGCTTTGCTTGATAGGGATCCGGCTTCTCCGGCTCTGGGGCCGATGGCGTTGCGGTCCCATTGGGCTGGTTCTTCTGTGTATCTGGGGTCGGAGACGATGGCCGTGCAGGGGTTGGAGCATTAGAAGGTAGAGGTGCGGGCTTTCCGTTGGTTATATTATCGGCCTGGTCATCGCCCATCAGGGCACCCATTCGCCCTTCAACACCCTTGATCTCGCCAGCCTTGCTCTTCTCCTCGAGTAGCAGTCCATCCGGAGTCTCTGTGATACCGGCGCCCCTTCTGTTGGTGCCGAATTTGGTGAGCGACTTTTCGTTCTCTTCCATAGCCGTTGCGTATCCCAGATCCCCGTCCTCAAACCGGACTGCAAGTATCGTGCCATCCAATGCCGTTGCGTAAAGACATTTTCCGTCGGGGCTCCAAGCCAGATCAGATAAAGATTTGGCGGCAAGCTCCTGAGCAACCACTATCGGCCTGGGGTTACTGGTGATCCAGATGCTTAGGGATTTATCTCCTCCGGCACAAGCAATGACCGTCACTAGGTTTTGCGCACCCTGCTGGCTATCCATCGCTTGTTTGTCGACCGGCTGACTGGCGTACAGTCGCGGGGAGAAGGCACATACTTCCACAGGAGCTTCGTGTCCGATCAGGTTTATGTCCCCATCCCAGGACCCACGGTTGATTATCGCGACGGAACTGACCGGTCCATTGACAGCGTTTGCCGCGGCGATGTGCATCCCATCCGGCGACCATGAACATCGACGGAAATAGGCAGTTAGCGGGGAGTTGGCAAAAGGCGCAGAGATGGTCTGTTCAAGGACGAAATTGTTCATCTGGTCATGAGCGGTCGAGTTTGGAGCAGGAGAGGTAAAACGGAAGATTCGGACGGTGCGATCATCGCTTGCCGTGGCAAAGTATTTATTAGCTGGGTCGAAAGTTATCCCTTTGACATGACTCTGGTGTATAGAAATCGTCTTCAGCTTCTCGAACGTATGCCCTGACCACACTACTATTTTAGAATCCAAGCCGACGGACACCAGGATAGAAGAGTCGTAGGACCAGCCCAAGTCTTGAACGTCATTGTCGTGGCCTATCAGTCTCCGGACCGTGCGCCAGTTTTCCACAGGAGGTGCCTCGTTCGACCCTATGTGCAACGTATCAGTCGCCGCTTCTAACCCGAACGAGCATCGAGACTCGAAATTAGCACCCACCAAATGTTGTAGCATGCGACGGCGGATTCGCATCCAGCGTGTAAATGCAAACAATCTTATCATCTGCCCCTGATGCGAGGTACTTCCCGTTTGGCGAAAACCGAACCGTATGAATCGTGCCGGAGTGGTTGCTCATCGACGCCAGCTGCTTTGGCTTGCTAGCAACCGCAGGGTCATCGGTATTGCAGATAGCTTCCGTCGACCATATCCGAACGTATCCATCTATTTGATTCGAAATGAAGTCAATACCAGTCCAATCCATCGGTTTGCGGCGGGGGGGGTGTATCGTCGGGCACGGAGAACCAACCTCCAGCAGCTGTAACTAAACGACTTCCATCGGGGGACACATCGCAACTGTAAACCTCGAAATCCTTCCTCTCACCTGCAGGGCAACGGGGGAAAGCTGTTAGTTACTTCAACTCCAGCATGTATAGTTGTATACCATCGGTCTCGAAAGAGAGTACGGTGGTGAATAAAATGTTGAAACAACGTAGACAGAATGGTGAATACCTCCGTGCGTCAGCCAGACCGGTTTTATGATATGCATCGCAGCAGCTGTGTTGCTTTCTTTTTATCCAGTACGAATCCCTTGTGCGCAGGATCATAGGAAAGTTGACGTGGATGAAGGATAGCTTATTTGGGGCATCGCAAAGCAACCGCGTCCACAATCATCGGACCCGAGGTGTCCTTGCTGAGCGAGAAGGGCGGGATCCGATAAATTTGGTATAAAAGATTGTCTCTCCGGTTCAGGAGATAAAGTCCAGTAACGCGAACAATGGAGTGCGCGCCGATCTTCAGAAAAGTCGCGATCTCCCGAAGCAGTAAAGCGGCAGGTCGGGTGATCCGTGCTTTGCTTTCTCCGCCTGGGGATCCTCAGGCACTGCCATTTACTGGTGCCTGATCAGATACCTTACGGAACTTCAAGGACACACGAATCGATTTCTCAACCCACTTGTCTACTATACATGATACTTCGTTTGAATAGAGATCACACTCTCCTCAAATAACTAGGCAATACGCTAAACGGGCAATGACCACAAGCTTTTTCCCAAGGCGCTTGTTTCAAGCACATCCTAAAGAAATGTCGGGCAATGGAAAACAAATGACTGAGGGGCGATAATAAAGGTACAGTGTGGCAGGGATAGGTATTTCGTACACATCCGAAAGCAATCGTAAAGGGGACTAGAGGTAGCGGTGGATAAGAAAGAGGTCAAAGAAGACGTTGAGCCTGTAGAGGAAATAGTACAGTCCATCATTCCAAATTATCTCTTCTGCTGGCTAGCCTCATTGAAGCCATCCAGCACCTCCTCTGCGACATTTTCATGGGCGTTCTCTTCAACTTCCGGTTTTACTTCATGGTCCAGTTCAGACGCTTTGTCTGAGGTGTGGTCTTGAATGGGTTCGACTCCCAGGGTCTTCGCCGCAACGGTGTGCGCCTGGCCCTCGTTGACCTTCTTGTAGATAGCCATGGCGCTCGCAACCATTCCACTCATATCCCCAACGTTTCCGGGAACGACAACCGCAGTGCCCTCCTTAGCCAGGTTGGAGAAAGCATCGACATACTTCTCTGCCACACGCAGGCTAAGAGCTCCATTGGCATTCTCCTTATCAGCCGCGATAGACTGAGCAACAGCATCGATCCCCTTTGCGGTAGCCTGTGCCTTCAGCAAGATCGCTTCAGCCTCACCAGCGGCACGGTTAATCTGCTCTTGCCGCATAGCTTCCGAAGCCAGGATAACGGACTGCTTCCGACCCTCAGCGATGTTGATCGCACTCTGCCGTTGACCCTCGGAGTCGAGAATCTCCGCCCGCTTCGACCGCTCAGCCGTGACCTGGCGATGCATGGCAGCGACAACGCCCTCCGGTGCATGGATATCTCGAATTTCATAACGAAGACAAACAACTCCCCAGTCTTGTGCCGCCTCGTTGATAGCCTGGGTGATGTTGGTATTTAACGTCGCGCGCTCCTTCAGCACGTGGTCAAGTGTAAGCTGGCCGATCTCCGAGCGCATAGTCGTCTGTGCAAGTTGGGAGATGGCATACTCCGCATCCTCCACACCGTAGCTATCATGGCCAAGGCCATACGTCAGCCAAGCTCCGACTCTATAATCCAACACTGAGAGGCGCAAGGAGAACTCACCTCGCCTTATACGCATCGAACACTCTCGTATACAGCACACCATCCAGCTCCAGTGTGACGTTATCCGCGGTAATAGCATTCTGACTCGGGATCTCGATGGCCGATTCCTTCAAGCTCTTGACATAGGCAATCCGGTCAATGAATGGAATCAGAATCGCAAGACCGGGCTCCAAGATACGGTGAAACTTTCCCATCCGCTCCACAATCCATGCTGTCTGTTGAGGGACGAATCGAATAACCGTGTTCATGGGGAGCGCCGAGCGATTGGAGAAGTAGGTAGGGGGTCCCCCAGGTTGCGATCCAGCCCCAAAGTTCAGCAGAGATTCGGGTGCGAGACGCCGGGGCGAAGAAGAAACATTTCGTCGCCGAACGCTATTCAGGCTGTTCGTAGCTGTGAGTGCGGAGATAGGAAGCCGAGGGTTCTGGAGTAAACGGGACGTGATGGCGTTCGGGGAGGACCGAAGCAGTCTTGATGACTGCCTAGATGCCACATCCATTGTGATAGGCAAGAATATCTGGATTGCTCCCTAGGGGGAATGATTGGTGGCAAGACGGTTGGACGCTGGAGACCAGTCTGGGGCCTTCGGATGAAGCTGAAGCTACGGGTCAACTTGCGGGAATTCATGCCTGAGGCATATATATATGCTGAGTCATCCTATACAATGAATGCTGATCATGGGAACGTTACAATATGTCTGCGTGCTGTTGTAATTGGACAGGAATTCTTTATGTCTCTCAAACCTTATCATATTTCATTTGGTAAGACAATTGCTCACTGCAATGGAGTGTCTCTCCTGGCTAGTTGGGAATGAAACTGTCAACAATCCAATATACCGAACAACTGTTGCTACCGCCAACAGTCTCATATATATTTCTCCGCCGGTAAGCAAACTACCATGCTGCATGTTCCTATCACACACAAAAAGGGATCTGCAGGGGTCCTACAGGTAGATACAAGGATAGTACTCTAGGAAAGCGTATAAGTTGTTCAATAGAACCCCAAGTGATTGGGCAGCCAGCGACTCCTTCGAGCTTGATAGCCTCGGCTACCACACAACTGGTCAGAGAGCTACAAAGCCTCAACTGGCTGTTTACTGCGGGGTACAGCTAGGTGACCTCGCCGGGAATGCCCCGGAAGTAGTACAATGTAGTTGCAGTGTAAGAATATAGCAAAAAATACCGATTTAGATGCAAAGGAACAGATACTGATATACACTGTAATGATATAGGACCTCGACATCATCAGGTAAGTAACTAATCCCGAATTAAAACCCAGTCTAAACTGTTTTCCCGTACCCAAACTACACCAAACCGACAAATGCAAGGGAGTGAAAATAAATATTATGAAATGGATATCACATTACCATCCGAGATACGGTGGCCCTTTTCCGTTTGAAGTGAAACCCACCGCGCCCAACAATATGAACAGGTAAAAGTTAGAAACTCATGAGAAGAGATGCCGTGAACTGCGCGAAAACAATGGTGTCGTGGACCGAATAGTACTCGTTGCAATGTGTATGTCTCCTTTGTAACTCCGCAGGGTCCCATAATGAAGCAAAGATTATCTTCTTTTTGTCTTTTGCTGTTTTTTTTTTTTTCTTCCATTCATACTAGAATAATCGAGAAACATCATCGCATATTAGAAAGAATCCGGTTGAACAATCTATGGTCGTGGGAAAGAAGTTCAGCCCGGCGCACCACGGAAGCAAGCATCAAATGGAAGCTGCAGAAGATACTGCCCAGTAAAACATGCCCGGACTCCAGAATTTTAAAAACCTCCCATGACTAAAGCAAAATGGGGAACTAGAAGGGGAAACAGGAAGAAACAATAGCCGAGACGTAATGTGCATATATCAACCCACTTCGCTGGAAGATCGTCATCGGCGATTCGACAAGCGTAGATGCAAAAGCTGACAGATAGCAATGCAGGTCATGAACCACGAGAAAACATAGATGGTGAATAAAGTAAAAGAAACGAACAAAATCACTTTTCCAGCTCGGCTCTTAGGCGAACACCCAGAGTACAGTCGGTCTTTCTGCGATTTCCGGGAACGAGAGATCAACTCTGCCAGGCTGAACACAAGGCCTTTAGGACTCCGCGCACTTCCCGACACTTGGAAATCCTTTTGCCACCTAGATCAACAAGGTCGCGGATAATCCCATCAGGCAAGACCCCATTGCTCGACAGAAAAAGAACCCTAAAAAATGAATCAATCTGTTGAAACCGTTGCTGACGTTTCGTGAAATATCATCAAACGCTAGACTCTTAAATTCATTGTACATTTGTGCTTTGAAATTTTGGACCAAGAAATGCGACCAGAATTGGTATCACGGTCACCGTGGCGGGTTACCGTAAAAACTCCATTCGTCAAGAACTCGTCCTCGAAAAAAAAATATTGGATTCGTAGGGAAAATCGGAGGAAGTAAACTCAAGCTGGGAGTCTCGTTCCCCTCACCCAGTAGGTCGGCAGATAGACTTCAGTAATATTCTGGGAGACCTTCAACGGTGGTTGTAGTGGAACTCATGTCCTCACTGCGAGTGGATTAGCAACAGTGGAAAGCTAGCGTTCAACTCGAGCACAAACCTTGAAGATTCGACCGCCGAAATGCTGGGAGAAGTGGAAAGCTTGTAAAGGAAATAAGCTAATTCGTCGGCTGTTCGGACTGCGTTAACAAATGCATGACAAACGAGAAAGAGGGTGAAAAGTTTGGGACTGCAGTCAAATAGAATGGCAGAGATATCCAATACGATCGACTGGCTTTTGACTTGGTTGTGCGGGAAATGCATCATAGGGAATCCTTACAATTGCAGCTTCATTCTGGGCTTCCACGGGCTTGGAAGGCGAGAACTCTGGGGCAGCAGACGACAGCGACGTCTTCGAGGCTGGAGCTTCACCAGTTCCATTGACAGTTGGTGCCGATCCGTTAACTGCGCCATCGACATGATTTTGCGCTGCCGCAGTCTCATCCAACATGCTAGGTCCCTCATGCTGAGCGGCGGGTTCGCGCTGGTCAATAGGCAGAACCCACTGATCCCACTTGTCTCTCGGGCGCAATCTATCAATGCCATCTTCATTCTGCAGGTAATCAACATTTCTCAGTTGGCGGGAGACGTGGCGAAGAAGCTCGAAGTCCTCGGTCAGAGTCTTGATGCGCTTGAAACCAGCAATGAAGGCCAATGGGACGTAGCCCTGAGAGTCCATGTGTCTCCGAAGGAACAAGTCCTTGCACAGGTTATCCACAGAGAAGTAGTACTCAAGTTGCATCGAGATCATGCTCATCAGGGAGAAGGGCTCCATATATTGCTGATAAGGGACAGCCGTCATGGGGCCAGGGTGTACTGGCTGGTAGCCATACATGGTGTTGATGTCTGTAGGGAAAGGATAGACACCATACATGGAACCGGAGTTTGGCAAGGAAGGCGACCTCAAAGACATCCTGTGGCCTCCAGAGCTATGTTGTTGCGACCGGCGCTCACCGAAGCCAAAGGACTTGGGGTGCATGAAACCATTGTGAGACATATGGTTGTTAGGATAATGAGAGTTCTGAGAGCCGCCGAAACCGCCACGGCCACGGTGAGAGCCGCGACCTCTGTCAGCACGCGACTCGCGGGGAATGTCCTTATCTTTGCGATCATGGAAGCCACCAAATTCTGCCGACTTGGGGCCGTTTTCGAAGCGACGTTCGTGGGAGGAGCCTGAGCGAGGGTTAGCCTGTGAATCCACAGGCAAGTGTGGGTTCTTGGAGTGGTGATCGCCGCCCTTGTGCGTAGCGTCGTGATTCCTGGAGAATCCCTTGCCTTCACGATGATGACGGAAGTTATCACCTCCGTGGCCATGCTTACCGGCTGGCGGGATGTTGGCATTGTCACTGCCCTTGGGCCCACGGTTGCGGTCCGTGGCTTGGTTCTTGCGGGAGTCTCCCATTCCAGCATCGGCGCTGTTGGATCGTCTGGATGGGGCTGGAAGGGAGTTCGCGCGAGCCGAGTTGGGCTCGTTCCTTCCCCTCTCACCGGGCGCAGCCTGCTTGGTGGCGGAGCCTTGAGCTACCTGACCAGCAGTAGCCTTATCCGCAGCTGCGGCAGAACCATGGGTTCCGTTGCGGGCGTCCCTTCCAGCACGAGGAGCTCTTCCACCGCGGCGGGCAGCAGAAGGAAGAGGAGTGGTGAAAACAGCAGTAGGCACGTAAGGGACTGGGGTCCACTTCTCTTTGCCAGAAGGACGGATGACGGGGCTCTTCTCGGACTTCTTTTTCTCCTCACCCTGGGCACTTTGAGGGGTGGGCCACAAAGCGGCATCTCCTACAGGGGGGAGGGATGCATCATCGCGTCCCTTGGATCTTCTGTCCTTGGCACCATCCGCATCTCCTCCCTTCTTCTTTGAGCCAGCCTTGGACTGGTCCTGTTGAGCATCACCAGAGACCGAAGAAGCCGCAGAAGCGGTCTTAGAAGTGCCAGTTTTGGCAGCAGGGCCAGCGGGCTTCGAGGCAGTGGCCTTAGCCTTGGCTTCCTGAGCCTCTTTCCTCTGTTGCCAGATATTCACTGTAGGCAGAGGAGCAGCCTTGAGCTCTTTGGGTGGCTCGCTCTTCTCCTTCTCTGCCGATGTCTCCTTAGCATTCTCAGCTCCATTGGTTTGCTTGTCAGTTCCCGAGGCCTGGGACTGCTTATCCCACGTGGATTCGGACGTGCCATTCGGTGTATTTGAGCCCTCATCATCTTTCGGTAACGTCGAGGTTGAAGCAGTGCCCTCGCTGGGGGAGGAGGTGCCTGAGACCTCTGCCTTGGAGCTTTCGACAGCCGTGGATTCCACATCCTTGTCAGAGTCGGCAGAAGGCTTCTCTGTTTCCTGAGGCTCTTCCGTCTTCACGGTCTCAGTGTTTTCAGCTTCAGGAGTAGTGCCCACAGTTTGCTCCTCTGGGTTCGAGGCCTGATTCGGCTCTGCTGTCTTTGCTGACGGTTGTGCGGGGGCAACGCCCTTAGCAGCCTGGGCATAAGAAAACGTAGCAGCCATTGTTTTTGTAATCGAAAAGATCTAGTATATGCGTTGGAGAAAGTAACTGAAGGGACTTTTAAAGTTCTGCCAGAGAACGGGGGCCTTGAATGGCAACTCCGATCAAAGATACCCGGTCAGGCCGACTAAGGCGACACAGATCTGACACCGATGGTTATGAGAAGAATCAACTTCCGCCTTCTTACTACCCCACCAAACTGCAACTTCCCGTCACTGGAGATCACTCCTACTGGGGATGCAATTCGTGGAACTGTCCGTTTAACCGGTCAGGAAAGAACGAGGATGTTCTTTGTTATCGCAGGTAAAGCGTCGAGAATGATGCGTTTCACTTGTGTATACAAAAGCCACCTACAAGACGAATCGCATCGGTATGGCTGTGATCAACTTTTTTTTCAGGCTGGTTCGGTTCGTTTTCAAGGTCGACTTGAATGACGTCCGAGACAAGTAAACCGAAGTCCGAAGGGTATAAACTTCGACAGGTGAATAGTGTCTATAGATGCAGAGTTTGAATGATAAGCACGATGTGCCTCCGTGCGTATGTTCACCAGATGCTGCAACCAACAAGAAACTCACTCAGTTGTGCGGCTCGAAATTCGGTCCGTCGGCAAAATTAACGGCTCTGCAGATGCGGATTACACCAGCTGAACAGTTGAAAAGCAATGTAATGGAGACGAATCACGTCGGAAGGTGAGAGGACCTCGTTGGCGTTGCCCCTTGTAAAGCGTCGAAAAGCGCGAGTTTGCACGTGGGCGACGACGCTACGGAATAATTTTTGGGAGCTCGACTTAGAGAAGAATCCCTGCGAGGGAAGAGTTGTAAGAAACAAATCACGAGAAGAGAGGTTGAGAACTGCAAACGAGAAATGTCGAGGCAGAACTCGTGCGGAGAAAGGTTAAAAAATTTCAAGGGAGTAACCGGTCAATGTACCCTAGCCAACAAAAATTCCCGTGAAATGCAGGACGTGGGAACAAGAAGATCGGAGAACGAAAGATGAGCACTAGAAGTGTGAGCACAACCTCACTACAGATAGTACTGCACCACCAACGATATTACGGTCGATGACGAAGATGGAGGGAGAATGAAGGGTAGACAACACCCAGAAGTGCGTTAAGAGGGGAGAAGAGGGGAGGGGAGGAGGGAGGGGTGGAAGGACGAAAATGGGCAAAAGAGAGAAGTAAAGGGAAAAGAAAGAAAGAGGAGAGAGAACAATGTGTGAGAAAGTAGGAAATTAAAAAAAA